CAGGCGTCCCGCAGGCGTCCCGCAGGTGTCCGCGTCCGTCCTCCTCACCTTGTTCGTGGCGTAGAGCATCGGGCGGTAGCCCACGATGCGACACAGCAGCATGTCGGGTCGGCTAGTCGGGGCGCGCGACGGTCACGGCGGCGGCGGGCGGCGCGGCGCGCGACAACATAACCTCAAAGTGGGGCCGCGACGGCGGCGGGCCGGGGCCTCCGGGGCGGCGGCGGGCGACGCGAGCAGCGCGGCCATGGCGGCCGGGGACGGGGCTCCCAAATCAATGGCACCGCCACACTGCCGCCGGGGGCGGCCACCAGGGGCCCCGGGGATCGGGCCCGCCCCCCGCAGGAGCAGCCCGCCCCACGCGCGACACGCAGGCGTACCAACCGCGGCCCACTCACCTTGTCACCTCGCACTCTACAGCCCGCGATCGTCTACACCGAGCAAACACTGCCCTGCGTCGTGCCCGTCCGCAAGGTCGCGAGCCGCGGCAGAATAATAACGCTTCGGTTTTCGTATTTTTGCATTATTTTGCCACACTCTTTATGCCCCTGCTGCCGCGCGCCCGCGGGTATTAAGTCACGCTGTGGTATGCGGGCGGTGTTGAGGCGCCGCCGCCCTGGCCTCTCGTGACACGCGCAGCAGCAGCGCCTGACTCGCCTTGAATCAATACGTTTACGGTCGAGCAGTCCACTTTTCTCCCCCTTTTATACGTTATAACCACTTTATGATCAGTTTGTTTTTTGTTCTTTTTTCGGCGAGGGCGGCGGCCGCGGGTTGTGGTTCACGCGAAAGGTCGCTGGCTGCCAGGCAGGCGACCGCAGAAGGGCGCACGTGTCACCAGGAAAGAAAGGAATCCCAACTTGAGATGGAATCATTAACATTTTTTTCAGTAATGTGGTAATGTGAAAAGATAACAAAAATCCAACTTTTTTCACAATCCAATCCACAAATTTTTGATAGAAAAACCTTTCTTGATATTTTCCGCGCACTTTTCATTTCTGGAATTTTACACACTACGGGTGAGTGCGCGTGCCGCGCCGCAAAGCGGAGGAGAGGCGTCGACATCACGTCACGCGTCAGCGCGAGCTCTCCGTCAACATCACGCCCGTGATGTGATAACACGCGCACGCTCACGCTCAGGGCACCGCTGCGTTTGCGTAGGCGCCTGGCCCGGTCATGAGGTGTGGACGAGCGTGCGCGCGTGCGGGCGCGCCGGTCCGGCCGGCCGCTCGCAGGCCGTTCACCCTGTATGGATAGGCCATCCCCGATATTGGCTTCACGCAAGCCCGCGCTCCGGCCCGCACTTCTGCTGTGACAGCCACCTGAAGGACGCGGACGTGCTGTGCCGTGCGGGCGGCCACTAACGGGGGTATCGCCGGCGTGCTCCGGTGTCGCCGGTGTATCGCCGCGGGCAGGGCCGGCCGTGGAGCGGCATGACTCACCTGGATGACGACGCGCTGCTGGTGCGTGGGTGTCGGCGCGATGGGCGTCGGCGCGTCCCAGCGCCTGTCCGTCCAGGGGTTACCCGGCCGCACGCTCAAACGCCCTGCCGCCTCCCTGGAAGCACTGGGGGTGACATTCACCGTCGGTATTGTTTTCAAAATATATTTACCTGGTAAAAATAGTAGATTTTTATAGTGATGTTCACCTTGTGGGGTCAACCAGCTGCTCTCTCGAACGAGCTGATCCGGAAGACAGAAATCCAGTCCCGGCCATGATCCAATCCACGTCCGGGCCTGCAACACACCTGGAGTCACTACCCCGCCTGCCAGGGGCCTCGCTGGCCACCCCCTCCGCCTCGCGCGGGGTAGCGCCGCGAGCCGCCAGGGGGCGTTTCTGTTTGCTTAACAATGTTTGCGTGACTGGCGTTGGAAAACAATCCTTGCCGTCACGGAGTACGGCGAGCGGGAGCGAGGCGCCCCAGGGGTGTAAAGCCAGGAGGGGTGAAGTACCTGAGGGGTGTAAAGCCAGGAGGGGTGAAGTACCTGAGGGGTGTAAAGCCAGGAGGGGTGAAGTACCTGAGGGGTGCTGCGGAGACCGGTAGCCGCTGGCGGGCAGCTGCAGGGCGTACAGGATGAGGCCGTTGGGCGCCACGGTGGGCAGCTGGCGCCGGGCGAGGCGCGCCTGCACCGCAGCCAGGTACGCGTCGGTGGCCATCGGTGTCGCCTGCGAGCACAACAACGAGAGTGAGGGGGAGGAGGTGGCGGTCGGCCGCTGCATTCAGGTCTCCGCGCGACCGTTGAATGGGCCGCCTATGGGGGGGTTCCCCGCTATCACGCTCGGTAATCTGCGAAAATAGGGGAGGAACGAGCTCCTCTCGCTGAAAATAGCGATGTCTCCATTGTGTCCTCAGCCTTGAAGAGCGGCCCGCCCAACGCGACGCAAATCGCAATATCGATCTAATCTGCGACCGTCGCGTCGCCGCGCGGACCCGCAGCCCATACGACCTCCCTGATCCCAGGACACCTCCCGCCGAGTACCTGCTTGCTGGCGGCGTGGCGGAGCGCGGAAGACATCTGCTGCGCGGTCATGAACTGCGCCAGGACGGCGAGCGCGTCCAGCGCGGCCTGGCGCACGCGGCGCCGCGGGTCCCTGGCGGCCAGCGCCACCCGCGCGCACACCCGGCCCCAGCGGCCGTCCAGCTCCACGCTGGGGAACGTCATGGCGACGTACATCAGGAGCAGCAGCGCGCACTCGCGCATCTGCGGACACAAGGGCACGGCGTCAAAGAGGGGACGACAACGGCAACCGAACCGACCCGGACAGGCTCCGCGACGTACCTTGGAACTCTTGGCGCCGATGCACGACTGGGCCAGGATGACGTCGACGACGGGGCCAGGGCGCACGCACTTGACGAGGGCCCTGGCGGCCTGCACCGCCTCCAGCTTGACGGCGACCGCGCTGCAGCCGCCCACGCGGCGGCACACGGCGGGCACGAGCACGCCCAGCACGGGCGTGACGGCGTCCTGGCCGTGCTGCACGGCGGCCAGCTCCTGCATCAGCGCGCGCAGGCAGGCCAGGCAGGCGGCCGTGGTCCTGGCGTGGCTGTCCTCGGCCAGCACGGTCACGAGCAGCCGCAGCAGCGCCGTGGCCCCCACCCCGACCTGCAGCGACGCCTGCAGCTGCGGCAGCTGCGCCGTCAGCCGGTCCAGCGCCGCAGCCTGCACCCGCCAGTCGTCCTGGACACAGACAAGAAAAGAGTCATCAAGGTCGTTAACCAGCACTAGTGCCCTAGGCTAGTCGCGCTCCCTACACTATACAGGCCCCCAGAGGGGCACATGTCCGATCGAAGAGGCCATGTGACACTCTCGCGCTCGGCCCCAAGGTCACTGCCACCTGGCCTGCGCCTCGATCACTCCATATGAGGCCCGGCGGCGTCGTTCCCGCGGACAACCCCCACCCCCCACCCCTCCCGCTCTCGTCCGCTTAATGCCACCCGGGGGGTCAACACCCCCAGCCAACCTGCCAATCTCAGACGCTTCCGCCTCCCCCCCCCCCCTCACCCCATCGTCTCGCTTTCCATTTCTCCTCGACGTGATTATTATCCGGCCGCAGCAGTATTACGGCCCACGCGGTAATCTTTCTTTCTTCGCTGAAATAGATTTCTTTTTTTACCCCACCCCCGTCGTTCGTCGTGGGTTTGTTCGCGCTCTGCAGGTTTGTCGGTCGTCAACCTTCCCCCAAGGCCAAACGACGAAGGAGATGTCAACCCCCCAGACGTCAACCGCGACATGATGGATAGACTTGCAGCTTGCAGGCGACCATCTGCGCACCCTCCGCGCAGGTCGGGGGAGGTGACGAAAGCCGACAGCCTTGGCGCGCTATGAAACCCCTGCCTCCGTTTTGCGTTTCGTTTACCGTGTGGCGTCCTGTAGTTTCACCTGCCGTTTTCAGCGACGACTCGGCTGGGCCTTGGCAGTCTGTGGGGCGCACAGTGCACACTCCAGCCGGTGGGCAGCTCCCCGCCCCCACCACGCCCCGCCGCCGCCTTTCTAAAGCAACTCCGCGCTTAAGAAACGCCGGGATCGATCTGTTTCCTTGTCTCGTCTGTCGGCCGCGCCGGGGCCCGCGGCGCGAGCGCCAGCAGGGGGCCTCTGTGCGGAGCATGGGGGTAGGAAAAATTCTCAAAGATTTTTGGTGTCCATAGCTGAACTGACCATAACACGGCTAGCGGAGCGCAAAAGAAAAATTATGAACCGGTAAGGGTAAATTTGAAATTCAATTTTACACTTAAGTTTATCTTTTCGTTTTTTCTTTTACGCTAGCAGTGCACGAGGTATGGGTGCCGAAAATGCCTAATGCCTAATGTCAAGTTTGCATGCCCGGGCAGAGCCCTGCGAAGCGCCTCGGTCCGTGCCTCACACGCCTCCTCCTCCCCCCTTCCCTCCCCGGCCGGACGACCGCTACGCCCTCCAGCTACTGTCTGTTTGGTTTTGGACGCTGTGCTCCCTCTACCCTCCCACCCCACCCCGCACGTAACACCACCCCCCGTTCCACCCCACCACCGGCTTCGCCCGCCGCACGAAACTAAACCGGCGCGCAACTGGGGCACAGATGGAGTATAGCAGTGGTTTGGGGTGCGGGTGGTTATGACAAGGGGGGGCTGTAAAATGAATGACTACTGCCGGGGCGTGGAGTGGACCGTCAACAGGGATAGTGTACACGTAGTGTAGTAGGGCGCGGCGATTTACCTGCCAATAAGGCGTGCCAACAGCCCGGCGGGGGTGGGG